GCGGTCCTACAGGTCGCAGGTTCAATTCTTCAAGTTGTCACAGATATTGTTCACAGGTAAGTTGGGGAACTAGGGATCGAACCCTGGGTCCTGCATCAGCTACTTCGAACTGGTGAATACCGTTTCAAAATAAAAAAATAATAAATATATATATAACATGTATGTATACCATTGTTTGTCCCAATCTCAAAATCCCATGAACATTTCTGCCAAAGGACCCAAAGACGTCCCGAACAAAACAAATACGTTCCCCAAAGGCCAAGAATATCTAAAAGGCCCCTTCTACTCCCCATGTTATTACCCCTTTTTCTTTGTGCCCCTCTCCCCCCCCTCCATCCTCTCTTCCCCGCCTCCCCCCACATTCTATCATTGCCATATCAGCCGCCTATATTCACCCTTTGTCGGCTGCCACATTCCCACTGCTGACTTGTAGAGGTGTTTGGCGTTGCTTGATGATTAATTGAGCGATGCTGACTTTGTTCACTTTATCTTTCTTTTCGTCGTTTACCATACTTTTTTTTATTTTTTAAGTCCAGATCGAGGCCTCGAGAGGTGCCTGTCGTTTAAGTCCAGATCGAGGCCTCGAGAGGTGCCTATCGTTGTACTCAACTAGTGGGGAGATCAAATGGCTACTGACAACCCCAAGGACAGTCTCCTCCTGGGGGCATCATTTGTGAACTTCTTTTATTGTCCTAATCAGATCGCAAGTCGAGCCCTACAGCGGTGCCACACATACCTTGTCTCTAAACCTAGACCTACAACAACCTGCGCCTTCCGAGGGTCTAACATGAGTCCCCCCGGCGCTACCATAGGACACCCCAAATTCTCAAGGACGACCCTGACACAGGAGGGGTCACAAATATGTGGCCATTCCCGACCTGTTTCACATCAGACTCTATGGGTGTCTATCACCCTTCTACTATCAATGCGACCACCCACCCTCCCCTGCCTAAGATGAGACCCCCACCCAGAGACCCTTCCCCAGATTCACGCCCCAATCAACCCCCTCAATAGGAACACAGAAGGTTTACCATAGATTTCACTTGTGCAGTTTTATATTTTAATGAAATGTTGCTTTTGCAGTGTAAAAGGGCCTTTTCCCGATATAGGCCTCAGGCCTTGTAAAAATAAAGCAGCACGGGCCTTGAAAAAGTAAAGCATTGTGAAAAGGTATCTCGCCAGAGCTCAGAAACGTGAAAGCAGGTTAAAGGTCAAGTTCTCTATCAACAGGCACATCTAAATCTAAGGCAAAGGGCATTGTCAAAAGACTTACCTGTTCATCAGGAGATGTGTATGTCATGTCTGTCCGAGTAAGGGTGTGTCTGTACGTGTAGGCAGTGTACCTGTTCGTGCAAGGTAAAGTGTCTGTTCAAGCAGTAAATGTGTCTGTTCGTTGAGAGTTGTGCCTGTCTGAAAATAAAGTCAATAGGCACAGTCCCAGTTCTGGTTTAAGTCAAGGGGTCAGTCCAGATCCAGACTTTCTAGTCCAAATACAGGTCGAAAGGCCACAGCAGCAGTTGAACTTCAGTGGGACTCTACTGGGACACATGCAATGCAGGGTCTGGGACAAGGAAAGAGGCTGAATTGAGCCAATGCAGACCCAGCGAGGAGTATAAAGGAGGCAGCCAGCCTCATTCCTCGCCAGAATCTCCACTGGCTGCAATGCGTGGAAGTGCTGGTGCACTTGTGCGCTGAGTCAGGAGGAGCAGCRCTGGARGAGAAGATGCGCTRGAGGGAGGAAGAAGCCTGTACGCTGGAAGTGAATGCAGCCATAGCTGCCCAGCGAGTTAGTAAGTAGGTAGAAGGGTTAGTACTTAGCTATGGGTAGTATTCAGAGTAGATCCTTGTGAGAACAGTGTGTGYATGCATCATAGGAGGAGGAGACTGAGACGAAGAGTGTGTATTCGAGGTTTGGCTATGGGAGACACTTACCTGAGTTGGTTGTGATCTGCTGAGTTGGCGCTGATGAGTTATGATTATCTTGATGACTGGGAGACAATCTGCAGGGAAAGCGCTGATGCCCTGGAAGGCATATTGATGAGTTGAGCAGAGATTTGTGTTGCGCTGATGAGCGCTGGATTCAGGGAAACTTTGAAACACTTTGTAATCATATTTCTGATAATATAAGCTGTGAGACTCGGTCCTCTTCTTCTCTACCTTTGTCTATTGTCAGACTACTGTTCATTGTGTGTGGAAGATGATGCATGACATGTACACATCTGCGTAAGATGGTCCCCAGGACCGATGCAAGTGGGAATATCGCATGGAGCGACTTGAAGAAAGTGGAGGTTTTTGACTTTTCCATCTTATATGCAATTCTTGAATTTTCTTGTGTTGTCTGCCTATTCCTCAAACTTTGCCAATGACTGCTAACTGCCACTTTATTGTTGTTGCTGTTGTTGTTTTTGCTCTTCTTTTTCTTCTTCTTCTTCTTCTTCTTCTTCTTCTTCTTCTTCTTCGTTCTTATTGTTGCCACCATCCCTAATGTTGTTTTCATCATCATCATAACTATCATCAACATCATCAACATCATCATCATCATCATCATCATTATCGTCATCTTAATTGTTGACATTATTATTTGTTTTCTAGGCTATCAGAGTAGCCCGGGGTCACTTGCCCGGCCGGGCCAAAAAAATAAAAATAAAAATAAAAAAATTACATTTTATTTTTTATTTTAAATTTGGTGAAGAATTTTGATGTGACCCTGAGGCAAAAGTTGTTCAGTTTATTTTTCTGCATAACATAGTTTTTTTTTTTGGATTTTTTGGAATTCGTTTTTTTTTTTTTTTTCTTGCTGGGCCCTTCCTTGGTCCTTGCACGGGCTGGCCACCCGGGACCCGGGCGGCCCGGCTGGTAGCCTAG